AAGCTATGGCAAAGGAGTCTCTTCAATGAGTTCAGCATTGATTAGTTCATGGTGCCATAGATGAGTGGTGTTGGATCCCATTGAACTTAGGTACAAAACCTCTCTTGGTTTCATCATTGTGATTTTTGCCAGTCTCTTCAGCAAAGCCCAAAAGAGAAGCAGATCTCTACATGTTTACATGAAAAGGAAAGCCCCAAATGTAAAAAATCCTTTTCTTCCCTTGATGAACAGAACACCCTTACTCTGGCCATAGCATGCTGCTTGCTAACTTGCTTGTATACTAATAGCATACAAACTAAACATTTTTTAGATGGAAAGAAGACTTTTTTTTTTTTTAATCTGAGGTATTATATGGCTAATCACAGGCTATTTAATCACAGATTAATGAGTCTCTAATCATGGATATTAAATTATGTCCGATGCTAAACAAAAAAAGTAACACTAAGCTTATATTAAGAAAATGAGATGTCAAAAAGGTGGCCCTGGGAAAATGTTGTAAAAAAATAATAATAAATTTATTATTTATGTGATGTTGAGATTTTAATTCACACACAACACCACAGATTCAGTGTTAGCTGTAATTCTGCACCTCTGCATCTATAAGTCATCATAGAGTTCCTCAATATATCTTTTATGGTCTTCAAGCTGTTTTGATATCCTTGCAAAACCAAACTTGTTTATGTATTTCTTTCACTTCATCTCTCAACCATGAAGATATTCTTCCCTGGCTGATATTTTATCTGCAAATGGGCTTGCTTATTATAATGATGCAAAATAATTGTCTCTCTGAGTTAGAGTAATTTCTTTCTGTGGTGCTTTAATGGAATTTATTGAATAAAGCTGTAAAGTACACAGGATTTTCTTATCCTTCCTTTCACTTGTGGGAAAGAGGCAAAAGCCAAACATTTTTTGCTATTGACCACCTTGAATTTACTCAGCCTGAGCACCAATATTTCTACATGTATTTTTGTAGATTTCAGATTGTTTATTGTGGCATGAAGACTATCCTGCAAGAGCAGAATTCAAACTGTAAAATTTTGTTCTATTTTAAGGCTGAGAGAGGATTATCAAGCCAGACATTTGAACCAGCAATTAAGTGGTGGAGGTCTCTTTACATCCTTATTGGTACCTTTGTGCCAGGCAGGCTGTTAACAAAACTCTTGAAAGTCAAGTGTGTGACAAACAGTCAAATTTTGTTGTTGTTCACTGTGCCTGTCTGCATAGCTGCATTTTTTTTTCTTGAATTTACAGCTTCTGTCAATCTCATACTTTCAAGAGGCAGTTTAACTGACTTAGGAAGTGAATCAGTAGATTTAATGACTACACTGATCTTACTTTATACAGCTCATTTTCTATATCCTTTGGGCTATTTGAGACATGCAGGGAAAGTGGTGTTGGTCTGATCTGATTACATTTCATTGTATTCTCCAATAATTGACTATTTAGAGCATTTGGAGGGGGGGTGGGGGGGCAAGCTTTTAGGGTTTTAGACTGCCAATTCATATGGATTTCAATTTAGTAAAAGCTGGAAGTAGTTTACCATCTTTATGTGATGTCTCCTTGAAGTTAGGGGGCAGAGTCCAGGTGGCTACAAATAAAAAAAAAAGAAAAAGGAAAAAAAAGGCCCAGCCAGATTAAATGAAAGAGGTTCACTTTGCCTAAAAGCAGAACTATCTGCTTGCCTGAATTCTCACTATACAGCATAGCTCCTGCAATCTGAAGAAGCTGTGTTAACGTGGTAGCTTGTGCTGCACCTGACTGATGGAGGGACCATCAGTTTGGTCTTATTCTCGGCACAAAGATTAATTTTAAATGTAGCTGTGTTCATGTCTTTGGATTACATCTGTTGTAAGAATGTTTGTGTCAGTGACCAAGGGAAAAGGTTAGGTTCTGTTTAGTTGTATGTGAGGGAGTGTCATGGTTTGACTCCAGCCATCAGCTAAGCCCCACACAGCCACTTGCTCGCTCCTCTCCAGTAGGATGAGAATCAGAGGGGTAAAAGTAGAGAAAACTCATGGATTTAGGTAAAAGCAGTTTAATAGGTTTAGGCAAAGGCAAACATGGAATTCGTTCACTGCTTCCCATCAGCAGGTGGGTGTTCAGCCACCTCCAGGACAGCAGGGCTTCATCACGCATAATGGTTACTTGGAAAGACAAACACCATCACTCCAAACATCTCCCCTTTCTTCTTTCCCCATCTTTTATTGGTAAGCATGACATCACATGGTCTGGAATATCCCTTTGGTCAGTTGGGGTCAGCTGTCCTGGCTCTGTCCCCTCCCAGCTTCTTACGCACCTCCAGCCTGGTCACTGGTGGAGTCGTGCAAGAAGCAGAAAAGGCATTGACTCTGGGTAAGCACTGCTCAGCACTTACAAAAGCATCCCTGTATCATCAAAATTGTTCTCAGCATGAATTCAAAACACAGCCCCATCCTAGCTACCATGAAGAAAATTAACTCTATTCCAGCCGAAACCAGCACCATGTGAAAATGGTTATACAGTAGGAAAGCACTGCAGAACAGATTTTCAGGTCCCCTTTCACCGGTGATTCTCCTAATGCTTATCCACATGCAGCATGGGTCCTCTATTCTTTCAATGCTTGATAGCATCAGTTAGAAAATTGGATGGTCTAATCATGCTGCCTTCTGATGACTGAACATACCTGTCCCATAAACTACTCATTTCTGCAGATACTGTCACGTGCCAGTAAGGAGGGTGCACTGTTCTTGAATTGCAGCAAGGTGTCAAACACAATCGATAAACATGACACAAAATGTTAATGATGACTATAATATGACAAGAATAGAAAAACAAAAATACAGTCTCTCTATTCATTAGAATCTTTAGTTCTTTATATCTTAATTTACAGAAATTAACTCTATCAATAGATTTTATCTGTTCTGTAATTTGAAGCAATGCCAGTCACTGTAAATAACCCTTTGTTATTTCATTCTGTCAGTATATCACAGTATTTTGTGATTGTTTTCCTGATACCTTTATGCTTTCTGTTGGAAACTGCCAAAATACTTTCTCGTACTGGTTTGTTTAGATTGTATAGTTTTTAAATATTTCTGGCTTTGGACAAACCTGTCTGAAAAGTCTTTGTGAAATTTTAGAAACCTGTCTGAAAAGTCTTTGTTAAATTTTAGAGCTAGATTAGCACAGACTTTTGGTAAAGATCTCTAGTATGGGTGTCTCTTCTGAAAGATTTCTTTATGTAGCCTATCTTTAGAGACTATGAGTTTTGTTACATATATTTTAAATGTTGATTCTTGTTCAGATTTTGGGAGCTGAGCATCTTTGGGAATAGTTTGGATCCTCACAGCTGTATGGTACCTTCGTGTTTAATACAATCGGTATACTTCACTTCTGTTAAAGCACAAGGTTATTCTCAGTGTAGTTTCCCTGAAGCTTCTGTTAGAATCAGATGTGAAATTCTGAATTTGCAATCAGAGTGTATAGTCTCTGCTGCCTGGGATGATGAGTACTGTCCTTCCTTCTCTCTGCTTCCATGTCAGGTCAGATTCCTTCCAGCAGAAATGAAGTACCAGATAATCGTAATATGTATAAAATAGTGAAGACAATTCTTCAGAAAGGCCTATGCCAACTGTACTGTGTAAAAAATTCAGTTACTCCTACCTTGTGAGAGTCTGCTGTGTTTGTGCATGTGTTCTCGTCTATCTTCTGTTGAATGTTGCCTAATTCCTTTGGATATCTGACTAACCTCATTGCAACTTCCTCAATGGTAGAAGTGGTAGGAAACCTTTACATAACATGAACTAATAGCAGTAGGTCTGTTTTGTTCTAGCTGTTGGGTAATTGTGTGACTATTACTCAAGTCCCTCAGTATTTGCCATTTATTTGGATGATGAATGGCAGGCAAACTAGACCACAGGCTCAGGCCAGGCTTAAGTATTTTCTGCTGTATTTTTACAGCATTTGCTGAATTGAGGCCTTATCACAAATCAGAGATTTAAATCCCACAGCAGTACATATGATTAACAGTGTGCAATGTTGCCCTGTTCAGGAGCATGTGGAAAGCCCTGATTCTGGCAGTGGTGCAGACCTTCTCCTCAGTCTCCTGTTGGCAGAGCCCAATCATGTCCTATATCCAGTTCCTGTACTGCAGGCTGGTATGTTAGACGCTGTGTTCTGTGTCTGCTGGGCTGAGACTTCTGTGCCTCTACCAGTAGGGCTGTGAAGATGTTTGTCTTCTTCAGTGGCAGCAGTTGGTAGGTGAGGTAAGGAGAGTGCTGGTTCACTACTTTTGTGCACCTTTAGGGCTAGATAAATGCTGGAGTTGGTACTTCTGAGTGGGTATGACAAAAATAGGCAGAGAGGTAATTAAAATTTAGGTAGTTCTAAAGTATCTGACAGTTTAGGCAGTTAGGGTATCTCTTAGTGAGAGACTTATTTGTGATGACTGGGTGCCATGAGAAACTAGGAAGCAGAAAGCATTGCATACCTCTCTCAAGTTAAAACCACATGGATTGAAGGGATCACACTGCTACTGTCTCTCTTTGTGCTAGAAAATTCCTCTTTCCCAGTATGCTTTGTATCTGTGCTGATGGGATACTTCAGGTCACCAATTACTAATCTTCTGTTTAGGCTTTACCAATGCTTATCACTCCTACTTCAGTACTTAGCAGGTTTGCAGCTGAAGAACAAATCTGGAAAACAAGGTGAGATAAAAAAGAAAAAGTGAACAGAAAGTATCTTCAGCTGTGTTCAGATTCTTCCTGTCCTACATGATACGTGCTACATATCAATACTTACTGATAAAGAGATGCACTAATGCCCACCCCAGTAATTCATGTAGCTATATAGATAACTCCCAGTTTTTTTCCTTGTTGTTGAACTTCTTTTGCAGGGTAGATTAAAGTTCATCAACCCAATAGTCATACTGAGTTTCTTGCACAAAAGGAAAACAAGTTAGAATAAGATGTACTTCAAAACATGGGCTATCAAAGTGATACTTATTTTCTGCTGTTTATCTGCAGAAGCTGGAAAAGTCTGACTTGGATAACTGGGAGAACATCAGAGGACCCCGTCTGTGGGAAGATTCCAGGACTGTTCAGCAGCAACGGCGGGAGGCTCTTCGTCTCAAGAAAGAGTGACTGAGCAATCCTACTGAGCCTACTTTGGTGCCTCTGAGGAAAAAAAAAAAGAAAAAAAAAAAAGTCTCAAGTGGGACTGTCTTATTTTTTAATCCAGTGTCAGGAACAGACATGAGAGGTGGGGATTGCACTGAGCAATTCATGTCAGTGTATATATGAGTAACTGTGACATCAAGCCAAAAGACGTTGTATTATATGAAGCTCTTTGCATCCACTTGCACAGTGTTTCACAGACTGTATATATGAATTCTCAATTAAAAAAAATTACTGATTATTCTACTGACAATGCCCACTGTTTTTTAATCCCTATCATTCAAAACTGAGAAGCTTCAGCAGAGAATAACATTTTAGGGGTCACTTGTCAGTGCCAGAAGTTGTCATCTTTATGAGAACAACAGTGCTGTTCTCTAGATGTGTGTAACCAGATAGATGCTGCTTCAGGGAGTCCCTCCATGGCCAGACACTTAAAGTTGGCAGAGACTCCTCAGGCATATGAGCTAGTTGAAACAGTGAGTCCTTTTTGGCTAAATAATACTTTGTGTTTCACTTCTAGGAGCTTGACTGTACAGAGGCAAGTACAGAGTTTCAGTTGGTAATTGATCAAATAACATTTTTTTTAGTTGTGATCAGATTTTTGTGATTAGTTTATTGATACATTCGTGCAGAAAGGTACCTACCTTTGCACTGGATCTTCTCAGTTTAAGTTGGAAAAATTCTTCCTCACTAAGAGCTGTGCTGCTTCTCTGTGAGCAAGTATTGTAGCAGAATTTTCTTGAACCACCATATAGTGGCAAAACTCATCTTACATGTTTTATTACATGTATATTTGTGCATGTGCACAGAAATTTTTTATCTTAAGATGAAGTCTTCTTCATTGCTTGCCTTTTTATATTTATCTTTGTGTGCTAGATGTTTGCTGTTAGAGGAAA